TTCCGTCCACAAACCGAGCAATGGCCTCGTCAAACCGCCTCAATCGACCTTGGCATGTTTCTCCAGCTCGTGTTCGCTTAATAAACCACCAAGTCCGCTCATTGGGCTTTGCATGGGAACTAAAGAACAATAGGATGGACGTCGATAACATCTAAAACACCGCGTAAGATGTCATCTGCTGAGTGTTCGATAAATCTATCGTGTTAACGCGCTGTTTTCACTAAGTGTACAACCTTTAAACCTCAGTGTACAAAATTGTATGTGCTGTTCAATGAACGAGAGAACTAGCGTAAAGATTTCTTTCTACCGTTTTCAGTTTGGCGCTACCTTTTCACCAAAAACCGGGCGAAACTTTTTGAAAACGCCGCCATTTTTTCAAAGTTTGTTATGGTGCCCAGGCCATTGGCGCTAGCGCGAGCCAAGAGGTCTCGCACATGCGCAGACGTTATTCAGTCCTGTTTGGTCCGTCACGAAGTGGTCCGGGATTAGAGGTGTGGTACTACTTATTCCCCATTCTTCCGTAGCCGTACTAGATGACATCAGTCGACACCGATAATGCTACGTCAGCGGGTATGCGGTCAACAACGCGGGCTCAAGTGTCCAAGGTCTAACATTTAACAAAATTAGCGGAAAATAATAAGAGCTGACCTTTAAAACCGAGGAACTCTGTTTTCGTCGAAGGCACTTTACTATTTCCAAAGGTTTAAAGGAGAAAATTAATTTTTGAAAATTTTTAGGGGGTGTACCAAATTTTTGGAGGTTGTTCTGTAAAAGAAAAGCGGCAAGGAAAACAACGCCTCGAAGCAACAATAGGAAATCAACCATGCGAACGACTCAAAATGACAAGTAATTCATGGCAGTCCCCATATAGACTCCCTGTTACCCAGTCTCCACATAGACTCCCTATGTACCCCTGTGTACCCTGTGTAAGATACATATGCAATATATATAGGGGGCTCTTCATGCCCTAACTTGAAATCGACCCACAGTCCCTGGGTCTCCGAGGATGAGTAGATCCTGAAGGGAGGGAAGTCACCGAAGTACTTTCTACGTGAATCGAACACAATTTCTGGTGAAGTCAGATGAGAAAGTATACAACTGCGAGGTATGTGTACTTATCGAAGTCACATGATTAAAAATTACAGCATCTGACCGTTAAATCGATGGTTTCTTTGATGTTACAGAAGTAGGCAGTTCACTTCTACCTATGGAGGGGCACTGTTATTTACTTTTGCTTTTATTTTTGCTTTGAAATGCTCTATGAGTTCAATTGATAAAACTAACTAGACGCATATTTGCGTTCACTCTGGGAAAGAAAGTGTTTTTTGTGCCTGCATTTGCCTAAGTTTCTCATGCAATTATTGCTTTATCCTGTAAAATATCGACTGGCACTATATTAAATGTTAAATATCCATTGGCACGATGTTAAATCTTTCTTATACTTTTTCACGACAGTTAAACTTAAACATCGATTTATTAATAGTGTTTTAGCATTTAAATAACAGGACAATGTAGATGGCATGGGTATGTATACATGAAAGACCATGTGCATAGACAAAATTCGTTTTTTGTGCCAGCGTTGATGCCTAAGTTTTTTATGCAGTTATTGGTTTATCCTGTTAAAATGAAATATCAACTGGCAGGATATTTTATCTTTCTTATACTTTGATGAATTCTTGCATGACAGTTGAACGTTATTTTGTTTAATAGTGTTTTTTAGCATTGGCATACCTAAAATGTAGATGACATGAATACACATGAAAGAATAGGTGTATAGACAAATGTGCTAAACTTTCTTCTCTGGTTCCTTGAGCTTTTCGAACTTTGTATTGGTATTCTGCCCAATTCACAATCACATCTATATACACAACAAGATTTACATTTATGCTTCTCTCGCTGTCTCTTGATGTTTCTCGATGAAAGGTTCACTCATGAACGTTTGCTTGTAGAGAGACATCCTAAAGCTTCATGGACTGACCCATTCCAAAAATGCTCCACATCTTCAAGCGTGGGTTTACCGCAAACACTGTCCATATTTTGTATACATTTTGAGTGTACTATACACAGAATCTGAGCAGATTTTTCACTGCAAAAACTTATCCTCTTCTGTCAATTACACAATGCCATATGCTCATTGGTCAAAATGTCACACATGCATTAGGGTCAAAATGTTGCGCATGCATGTTAAGAACTTCACTGCAGTTTCTAACTAAACAAAAAAAAATAATTAAGCAGGAATTTCAATTTAGACATTTCCTTTGGGAAGCTAGAGGAACTATGATAGTGTTAAAAACAATTCTTTGAACTGGTATTGATATTGCAGGATTAATAAATTAACAGCTTAATCCAGATGATAAACAACGTATGGAACAAGTTCTAGAATTGTGTTGATTGTTTATTGTTTCATTAAGTGCTAGTGGGGAGGAGGTAAGTGAATATGGTTACTCAGGTTTAATTTTGCTGTGCATTCTAGCTCACAGACGTGGATAACTTACTTGCTGATTCCTGCTTTTGTGACACACTCCAGCATAATTATCATTTTAATACAGTTTTCAGTTTGGAATCAAGGCTGATAGTTTCGAAAGAAACTGTTTGGGGCTGCGTCGGTGGGAGTAACGAAATAATTTGGATATATCAACAAAGTTGAAATGGTAAATTGGCCACCGTAACGATTACAAAAGCTGACGTTTCGAACGTTAGCCCTTCGTCGGAGCCCTTCGTCATTCGCTCCGACGAAGAGCTAACGCTCGAAACGTCAGCTTGTGTAATCGTTACGGTGGCCAATTTACCATTTCGACTTTGTTGATATATCCAAATTATTCAGTTTGGAATGTCTTCTTAGTCTTGTGATCAAAGAGAAAAAAATTTTTATTTGGAATTATCACACACTTTAAATGACAGTAAACTTCAGGGATTGAAAACTGTGGAAGTCTAAAATCTGGAGGTGACTGATTTGGATCGTATTCCACAATTGGTTACCTTAATTTTTTATGCTGGTCAAAACATTATATTGCCATAGTTCTGCATTCTATGTTGATATAAAAGTAACGGGAGTCGAAAGGGCGACAGCATCCCTCTTCCCTTCTCCTCAGTAAGAGTTGTGATTGTTGTCATTTGATATATAAGGGAATGGGTTAGCAGTGCTTGAAATAACAGTTGATCAATAGACAATGTACATTCGGAAATAGGTTTTGTTCACTGAAATCCTTAGATGGCAGATTTCATCGTGTTATGTGTCACACGATGAGTGGGTCGGTGGTGTCAACTCTTTGAAAAAGCCTTCTGTTAACCAGTGATGGAATTTCAGCCAGCTTCAGCAGGCCGTCATAAGAGAGTGATTTATCGTTGAAAACTGCTCTCAAGGCCCTCTCCTGTAGTCTTTCAGCTTTACGTT